GTGAAGCTTTTTACGATTAACAACAACAACAACAACAACAACAACAACAACAACAGAGGCTCAAAGTTTGGCCTTCCAAAAAGCCAGCTGCGGTGCTGATGTCAGAACAGAGGTGCTATCGATGTTGTCTTCGAGTACCGGTACCTTAAGTAAACTAATCGTGATAACTGCTATTACTGTGCGCGAGCTGCGCGCAATAATGGTTGTTTTATTGGGCAACTTTTGACAGGGTGCCAAAATCTCTGCCAAACCGTTTAGCTGTTTGCTTAATAATATTGCAGCTCAAAGCTGACGCACCGAGGGAGGCCTGCATCCAAGTCCGTTATCTTGTGGTGTTGACACCCCCATGACCCCAATAGAACTCTTCATTGGGTGGCTTCCTCGATCTAACTCGCTCCTGTTGCATTCTTCTCTTTTCTAACATGGGCATTCGAGATATAGCACTTGCAGCAGCAGCATCGGCCATGGCGGCTGCTTCCTTGACCTATTGGCTGATGCTGCCACGACGACGACACTCATCTCCCAAAGAGAATAATCCCAAAGAAGAAGAACCGTTGTCCCCTCGCTTGGGTCTTCACGATTTGAATCCCATCCTGCAAACCGCCGGTCGAGCCAAGGAACCCCGAGTCGCAAAGCGATATTTCCGCAATCAACCGAATAAAACCCATGTGATTCGCATAGCGCTGACGGGAGGTCCTTGTGCCGGCAAGTCGTCGGCGTTGAATTACGTCCGGCAACGCGCCACGGCGGCTGGATTTGATGTCTACTGTGCTCCCGAAGTCGCGACGCTCTTTTTGAATTCCGGAGTGGGATATCCCAAATCAGCCGAGCAACAATATACCTTTCAAAGTTCCATTTGTATCTTGCAATTGGCGCTGGAACGGACTCTGACTACCATAGTCCAAGGAACCGGACGTCCTTCCATTATCATTTACGATCGGGGCATTCTGGATACCAAGGGATATGTCGACAATGACACGTGGCAACGCATCCTGTCCGAACTCAGTACCAGTGGAGCCACCGATGCCGCCGAACGTCCCGGTCTCTTCACCATGGGTGTCACGGAAGATTACGTTCTGAAACGGTACGATGGAGTCGTCCATTTGGTCACGGCGGCCGAAGGAGCTCAAGAATTCTATAAAAGTGGACAAGTTACGGACGATTCGGGGGCCGCCGTCGTTCGCGTCGAAACACTGCAAGAAGCCTTGACGTTGGATCATAAAATGAGAAAGGCATGGTGTGCACATCCCCATCACAATGTTATTGGAAATGAAGGATCCTTTCAAGACAAATTAAATGCCACGGTGCAAGTCATTCTGAAATTGGCCGATGAAACACATCCTGCCGAATGTCAACGAGCACGCAAATCCATGTACCAGCCAGCATAGTCTAATTATTGAGACATGCTGTACATGACAGGTAGACATGACATGCATGCATCAGACACAAATCCTCGCAGGGAACAAACAACAACCAGCGATTTTCTTCTTCGTCACAGACAACTCAGTGTCGAATGAAGCAGTAATCTACAAAAGCACGGTTGGGATGCCCGTCAGTTAGTTGGATCGAATACTAGTAATGTGTTTCGAATTCTTTACGGCGGCGGCCCTTGCCTCGTCGACCATTGAAAAACTGTCTTGACCCAAGGACACAGTCCAATTTATTTGGATCACAACCATCTTGAGCGTGTCTCGAGAGCTGGATCAGATGAGCTGGGCAAGTGCAAATCATAGCCTTTCTCGGTTAGTTAATTAATTAGATGATTGCTGGGGGTTCTCCAATGAATACTAACTCTAACCAGTTGTTTCCACAGGCCATATATATTATGTCATAAATCCACGTGCAGTCTGGTTTTTGAAGGCCGCAAGATAATGTAGGGTCATGTGTCGGTCAAGCAAGCAATGACTCCATCCTGACAAACAGAACAAATTCAGGCAAAAATGAATGCGTTTTGGGACACTATGTTCCACAAAAGTATGCAGCCGTGGTGAAACTAAAGCTTTGAAATGCTTTCCCTGAACCTGCACTGACGATGGGTGTTGTCGAACCAATCAAAAGCTGCTGACCACAGGGCCGCTCCTGTTGTTGCTATTGTAGAGTGTCGTATAATGAGCCCCCAGGCTTGATTAAATCACCCATCCACTGGCTCCAAAAAGTGATGAATCCAATTGACCCACCAGGTTTTGGTGAGTTTTTCCCAATTGTAGGTATCCCATTTTTCCAATATTTCATGGTACGTCTGTTCCAAGAGTTCCGGTGTTACTTGGGCATAGCTCTCCACAACAAGGGCTGGCAAGTCATCCAATGTCCGGAACCAGCCATCGGGCATGCGCTTGTCACCAAGAGATTCCAGAATGGGAATCACTCCCATCCACAAACCTTCCCACGTTCGATAACAATCCAATCCAAGTCCATGAGGACTGAGAATGAATTTGGATTGGGACAAGAGTTGGAAAAACTCAATTTTGGATGTTTTCTTTTTCTTGTCTCTGTTCTTGGCCCACGTTTGTGCCGTGGAAATGTTGGAATCACGAAAGTTGTAATCCAATTGTTTTTGTGCCCTTGCCCGTGAATCCTTTTTGAGACTGAAACTGAGCAACATTTCTCGTTCTCGTGTGGCAGATGACAGGGTTGTGGGTGGAGGCAGTTTGCGAGTCACCTTGTAGGCGGCTTCCACCACAGTGGCATCCATGATTCCAAGTGGGATGGAGTGTGTCTTGGGGTGATCCCATTTGTAATGAAATTGGCTGGTAATGGCTGCCAGCGTGTCGGGATGATTGAGGTATTGGAGGATAAAACTCTTTTTGCAGCCCATTCTCTTCCACACTAGGGAAACATCTCTGGCAGTGGCAGTGGTTTCTCCATGAATCATACTCCCCAAACCTCCCAAATCTTGTTGAAAGCCAAAGAGCAGCACGTGTGGCCATGGCTTTGCATTGGGTTGGTCTCGGTATTGATTAAAGAGTAGAGCCGCTTGACACAGACTTTCATGCTTTGCATGGAAATGAACAATGCGGTTGTTGCCTCGATTTCCCAGAATGGGCGAGTCATGGTCGGTGACTGCCTGCTGCTGTTCCAAATGATAAGCCAAGTCACTGTCTTTGACCTTGTACCGCGTCACACTGGCAAAGAGACCGTCCATTTTATCAAATCCCCACATCATGTAATCGTGCTGTGCTATTCTGTGCAGCATGTCGTAGTGGCGTTGGTAGAATTTAAATTCCAAGTCTGTGTAATTATGGATAGCAGTAGTACTTGTAGTAGATTGTTGAGCTGTAAAATCGGATGCCTCTGAGATTGCTACCGGTAGTGGGGTAGATAACACGGCAGTATCTGTGATCTGGTGAGTGGTAATATTTTGGGTGGTATCATTGGACGGTATTATATCATGATGCTTGTGGAATGTGCCGTTGGTCAAGGGAATACTTCTCGTTTCAACGGCTCCAGTCAGTGTGGTGGTAGAAATCCCCACTAGTTCGAAAAGGTGGTGATCAAAACACAATAACGCAAAACTGCATCCACAAAGCAACAGAAAGCAAGTTGCCGAGCCGTACATTGCTTTCTTGTCCTGTTTGTCCGAGGGAGACCTCATGGGGGACAATGAATGGAGGCGGCTGCAATTACTCTGCTGCTTCTTGATCTATTAATGCAGCTGGAGAAGCTCGAAAGCTGTCAATGGCTTGCTTGCCTCCAACCCAGCGAGTGGGTCAGATGCAGAGGGATCCATGTTCCGCGTTTGGTAACTCTCTCCGCCCCAATGTTTGTGGGGGTTATCGGTTTAGGGTACTTCGTAGCGGCACCGTGGACAGTGGTACTCAGAGTAGCCTTTTAAAAAAAAATAGACATTTGATTTTTTCTTTCTCGCACGGACATAGTGGCTGGAACGACCATTACCCCAACCCCGCTTCCTTGGGTACAGGTAACTCCAAATGACGTCATATTGTACGTGAATCGATCAGTCCCCGGTTTCTCACCCCTTCAAGCGTTCCCACAGCCATCACTTTTTGGATCCGTTTCCTTGCACTCTCTCATTTTCCTGAATAGAGGGCTCCTGTGAAGCGAATCTCACATCACACTACATACATATCATCTTCTCTGATCACTATTACACTATCGAGCAACCATGAGCAACGCTGATAAATTCCTAGAAGCAGCCGCGACCTTTCCAGAGGATGCCCTGCCAGATCATCGTGTCTACGAACATCCGTTGGTCCAACGGTATGCTACCAAGGAAATGTCCTTTATTTGGTCCCCAGCCAAAAAGTTTACCACATGGCGGCAGCTCTGGACGGCCTTGGCCACGGCGGAACAAGAGTTGGGGATAGATATTACCGATGAGCAATTGGAAGAAATGAGGAAATTTCTGTTTGATATTGACATGGAAACTGCCAATGCCAAGGAAGCCGAATTTCGCCACGATGTCATGGGACACGTTCATGCCTTTGGGAGTCAGGCGACCAAGGCCATGCCCGTCATTCATCTCGGTGCTACCAGTTGTTATGTCGGAGACAATACCGATCTGGTGCAGATTCGAGATTCCCTCCAACTCATTCAACGAAAATTGGTACAAACCCTGGATACCCTGCAGAAATTTGCTCAACAATACAAGGATTTGCCGACTCTTGGATTCACTCATTATCAACCCGCGCAGTTGACCACCGTTGGCAAACGATGCACTCTGTGGATGCAAGACCTACTGCTCGATCTCGAACGAGTCACACGCGAAATTGACGAATTGCCCATGCGAGGTGTCAAGGGAACCACGGGAACCCAGGCGTCCTTTTTGGAACTCTTTGATGGTGACCACGACAAGGTCAAACAACTCAACAAACGAGTCTGTGAACTCATGAATTTCAAAAAAGCCATTCCCGTGTCGGGACAAACCTATACGCGCAAAATTGATTTCAATGTCTTGAGCTTGTTATCGGGCATTGCCCAATCGGCCTACAAAATGTGCGGTGACATTCGTCTCTTGGCCAATTTAAAGGAAGTGGAAGAACCCTTTGCCAAGACACAAATTGGAAGTTCCGCCATGGCGTACAAACGCAATCCCATGCGGTCCGAACGAGTCTGTTCTCTCAGTCGTTATGTCATGGGTTTGCCCAATGCCGCCGCCCATACGCACGCGTCGCAATGGTTCGAACGGACACTGGATGATTCCGCCATTCGGCGCATTGTTCTGCCAGAAGGATTCCTGGCGGTAGATGTCATTTTGAATTTGCTAAACAATATCGGTGATGGATTGCATGTCTGGCCCAATGTCGTCAAGAAACATGTCATGGAAGAGTTGCCCTTTATGGCCACTGAAGTTATTCTCATGGAATGTGAGTATGGTCGTTGTAGTCACAACAGCGAAAATGGTGGATGGATGGGTGGATGATGATGCTCTCTCATGCCATTACTGACGGTACATCTCTTTGTCTTTTACTCTTTGTTTCCAATTCTTTCCATCATGGCTGACAGGTGTCAAGGCCGGTGGCGATCGCCAGGAACTCCACGAAGCCATTCGGGTCTATTCCATGGAGGCGGGTGCTGTCGTCAAGGGAGAGGGAAAGCCCAATGATCTCATGACACGGATTGCCAAGGACCCACTCTTCAAGGCCGTTCATGCCAAGTTGGATACCCTGATTGATCCCATTCTCTTTGTGGGACGGGCTCCACAGCAGGTGGATGAGTTTCTAGAGGATGAAATCAAACCCGTCTTGGAAACACACAAGAGTCTCTTGTCGGTGGAAAGTGTGGATGGTGTCAATGTGTGAGTGAGCGGGAGAGAACCAATGGATGGCTAGCTTACTTGTTTTTCGATAAGAAGTCAGCAGGATGCACAATAATTTGCTTCTGTCTGTAACGTAGTGTTGCACTACAATCATTTCTGGGTGCTCACACTCTGTACGACAGGACGCGAGGAATACCGGTACTAGTACATCGTGCATGCATTAATGATATTCAGGCGGCAGCTTGGGCGCAGCTACACTGCAGTACAGTAGCTGCCTTAGCAAGGTAAAGGTGTCTGCTAGCAAATTACACGTATTGTTACATTCTTCTCTTTGCTCCTGCGCTTCAATCTTGGTGGTTCCTGCAACACTACGTTGTCCGCCGATAGGACAACCGAAAATCCAGCAATTCCGACTAAAACGGAGGCTTTGAAGGTGTTCTCGTTGTCATACCGTACTGCTGCTGCTGGTAACGATTGTCTGCACCCGTTCAATAACTTCTTCTGCCTTGACGACACCTTCTAATCGCAGCACTGGTTCTCCATTCTGTACCAGCACCAGGCAGGGAAGAGCCGCCACTTGAAAGCGACTGCCCACGTGAGGAAACTTTTCGGTATCCACGCTAAACATTTTAAAGGGCATTCGGATGGAAACTTGGTTCATTTCCTTCTTCATTAACCGACAAGGACCACAGTTGACTGCCGTAAAGATAACCATTAGCGGTTCTTCCTTGTAAGCCGATAGCATTTCTTCAAAGTTCTTGAACTTTCTATTGGAGGAAGAAGTAGTAGTACCGGTAGAGGTAGCAACCGCAGCTAGTCTGGCATGGATCAATTCATCATTGTCCGACTGCTTCAATATGACTCTGCGACGACGGGGACCTTGTATTCTCACATCGTTTGGTTGTCGTGTACATGTAGTGGCTTTTCTGACTTGTCCATTTCTGTGTCTGCCTTGGACAACATGTGGCCGACGAAAGCCCCGCACCCCACAGAAGAAACAGGAGGCCTCCAGCAAAATCAGCAGGGCTAGTGTACGGTTCATCTTTTACAGATCAGAAAGACTGGAAGAAAGATAATGCTTCAAAGGCAATGTTAAAAGAGTGACAACCTTATCCCATTGGCAGATTTGACATCTCTCAAGCAACACGCGAGGTTCTTGTTTGGTTTTTGTTCCTTCCCGAAAGAGGTGAGCGGAAGAAAGAACGTGCCCAATGCAATCCCATTGGATATCAAGAGCACCCGAACCCTTGTGGTGGGAGTACGTGGCGGCGTCATGATAGCTGTCGAGCTGCTGTCATGCACTTTTGGGTGGGTAGTAGATCGCGTGTCAAAGAGAATGCTGCAAAGCTATGTAAGAGACAAATGAGGAGGCAAGGAATCTCGGTCCGCGATAAACGAAGAACATTGTGTGCTGGGAGTTAAAACTCAAACTTCAATCTACAGCTACGTCGTACCGGCAGCTAGCTAGCTAGCAAGCACCATCTCCGCTTCCTTTTTCCAGGGCAACCATTTTTCTTAGCCCATTTGAGAACTTCCCAATGCTTCCACTTGCGAGCAGCTTTGACAGTGCGATCGTCCCATGGGCAGCCTTGCTCCCGTGCATATTTTAGAATCTCCAAGTAGCCTCCAGCAGCAGCACCTTCACATGTCTGTTCATCCCAGGGACATCCATTCTCATGAGCATACTTTATCACATCCAAGTACCCATACTTGGCAGCACATGTGGATGTGTCCTTGTGCCATGGACAGCCATTCTCGTGAGCATATCTAAGTACTTCCAACTGGCCTTCGCTAGCAGCCATCCACGAAACTAGCGCATTCCATGGACACCCGTGTACATGAGCCCATTTTAGGAACTCCAAATCTCCATGAAAGGCCGCAAAGGTACAGGTACTTTCATCCCATGGACATCCATGTTCATGGGCATATTTCAGAATTTCCAAATGGCCCCCACATGCAGCATTGTAACATGTTGATTCCACCATTGGACAGCCATGTTCATGAGCCCATTTTAGAACTTCCAAATGACCTCCCTTGGCAGCTCCAGCACATGTGCATGAATCCTGGGGACACCCATTTTCATGAGCCCACTTGAGAACATCCAAATGGCCACCCTTTGCAGCATTTTCACTTGTCCTTGTATCCCATGGACAGCCATTTGCATGTGCCCATTTCAGAACATCCAAATGACCACCTGCAGCAGCATTTGCACATGTGACATCATCCCAAGGGCATCCGTTTTCAATAGCCCATTTCAGAACATCCAAATGACCACCTGCAGCAGCATTTGCACATGTCCGCCAGTCCCAAGGGCAGCCATTTTCATGAGCCCACTTTAGCACTTCCAGATGGCCATTTTTTGCAGCATGTGCACATGTCTGCCAGTCCCAAGGGCTGCCATTTTCATGAGCCCATCTCAGCATATCCAGATGGCCATTTTCTGCAGCATGCATGCAAGTGTCTTCACACCAAGGGCAGCCATTTTCACGGGCCCATTTCAGGACTTCCAAATTTCCACCCTCAGCGGCAGCAGAACAAGTATCTTTATTACATGGAAATCCTTTCTCATGGGCCCATTGAATCACTTTTAGAGAACCCACTCTGGCAATGGAGGTGCAAACATCCTCATACTTTGGGGTCTTCTTGGAGCATTTGTACTTGTGCCAGTATTCAGCACATGACACATTGCAGAATGCTGCAGAGTAATATGTATCTTTTCTGGTTGCCCTTCTCTTCAACTTCATCCATAAGATACTTATGACAAGAGGCCGTTTCTTCACAGTGTCACAGTATTCTTTATAAAGCTGCTTCCATTGCTTGTTGACACTCCCAACAAAAGCATTCTGCCCCATGCCAAGGAATGGAAGGATTTCACCAATCCAAATTTCTTTTTGATCTACCAATGGCTGAAGCTCGTTGACCAACTTATCTGCAGACTCTATGGGAGAAGACTGCTTCCTCTTTCGACAAGGCTGGGTAGAAGCTGTTATGGCTCTGGTTCCAGATGATCCAAAGAGTAGCTTGCGGATTGCTAGCATGGTGGAGTTGCCGGTTGCGTTTGCTTTCCAACTATGCTGAGGTTGTGGAAGAGTACAGCTGTGCTTCGGTTTTGGAGAAAACGCAAAAAAAAAAACGTGGACAGTCCAAGCGTTTCTTTCCACGCTGGGAGGGTCCAAATCGACGGAATTCGATTGAGCAATCAATCGATTCGACTAAAATAATCAACTATTCGAATTGAGCCGAACACCACTACGGTACTCGGTATCATGCACCACAACCACCACAACCTCCACAACCACAAGCAATACTCTCTCTGTCCTTCTTGTGTTGATGCAGTCAGAAAGATGAACCAAATTCGTGAAGTGGAACGTATCAATCAAGAAGAACTAGCCCGTGGCATTTCGGGGACATCGGCTTCGTGGCATGCCAAGTATGCGCGTTCGGCATGGGTGTTTGTGGGCAATTTAGCGTACGAGCTGACGGAAGGCGATGTCTTGGCCGTCATGTCGGAATACGGGGAAATTGACGACTTTCATTTGGTGCGCGATGAGGACACGGGCAAATCCAAGGGCTTTTGTTTTTGCAAGTACTGCGATGCCCGAAGTTGTGTCTTGGCCGTGGACAATTTGTGTGGCTTTCAAATGAACCAAGGACGATCGTTGCGGGTGGATCATGTGGAGAGCTATCGATTGCCCAAGAGTTTGCAAGATAAGGAAGAAGAATTGCAGAAACGATTACAAGAGAATGAGGGATTGGAAGGACATGCCTATGAGGGAGTAGAGCTGAAGAATGATTTTAGCTTTCATCAGGGACAGGATCTATTTGCACCCAAAGCAAGCAAAAGGAAAAAGTCTACCGAGGAAGAGGACCCAAATCGGCCAGAGGGACGTAAGAGCAAGGAGGAACAGAAAAGAGAGAAGGAACGTAGGAAACGAGAGAGAGCTCAGATCAGACAGGAACGAGAAGAAAGGAGGAGGGAGAAACGTGCCAAGCACATGAAGGATGGTGATGAGGCTGAAGACCGTAGCAAAGGTGAACGCCATCGATCTAGCAGCAGCAGCAGAAAACACAAGAAATCCAGCAGAAAAGACGACAAGAAAAAGAGAAAGAAATCGGAACGAAGGAGTAGAAGCCGTTCAAGATCTCCTCCTTCCAGGAAGAGATAGAACCCGTCGCCCGTAGCAGCTGCCCGACATTAAATTTGTCGACCAACACTCCGTTTCTGGTGGTGGCAACAGTCTGTCAGCTTTTCGGTTTCTCACTATAGTTACATGGCACAGACACAGTCTCATGGCGCTTCAAGCGAAAATAGACATGTCCCTTGCTTCCCACATAGATTGTTGTGTTTTGTTCTCCTCGTTCAGCCGCTGATGGTACACATTTAGGGATGGCACAAATACTTTTGTTTACTCGTCATCGTCGTGTCCAAATTCATCGTCACTGCCATAGTCGTCATGGTGGGAATCATCCGGTTCATCCAAACTCTGTTCCACCGCCATTTGAAAATCTTTCAAACTAATCAGGCCTTCACCCTTCTTGTCCAAATAGTCAAAAATCTCCTTTGCGGCGTCTTCGCCACCAAACAGATTGGCCACGTCGTCCAAAGCCAAGTGTGTCTTTCCGCCCTTGCTAAACCGTCGAAGCACCTTTTGAATGTTCTCTTCGCGTTTCGCAATATTCTTATCCATCAGGGCCACCAAAAACTCTTTCCAATTCACACTGTTAGAGCCTTTTTTGTCCAGGTTGTCGCGTAAGGTGGTCAACTCCTCCTTGATGCTGGGGGTAAAGTCGCCTTTGCAATGATTATTTTAAACACAACGGTGACGAAACAGGCAAGAGACAACAATAATAGAGTCAGAATGGAAATCCCCCCTGTACGTCATGCTCTCATTATTTGGTTGTTGTTGTTTCTTACCGAGTTCAATGGCATCATCCAATTCCTCGACAGTGATGATATCCTCATCACTCTTGGTAATCTTTTCAAAGATCTCCAGCAATGGCTCCGTTTCAACTTCGGTCAAGTCATTGGCAATGAAATTCAGTGCAACTTTCTTCAGTCTCTGCTTGGCCAAGTACTCGGAAAAGTTGGCCACCATACGACGGCTGTGAGCAGAAATAACGTGGTTGGATTTGACATGAATGGTGTCTTCGTCCAGTTGTTCTTGGAACCAACGATGTTTCAGTGCATCTTCTGCCGTTAGTCTGTAAATGAAACGAAATCAAATGAGACGACAAGTAATGCATCCATCAGGAGATCACAAAAAATAAACAGGAGAATCCCGACTAAATGGTCCCGAGGACTAATCATTCAAACCATTAAAAAGCGATTGCTGCTCACCTTTCGTCTGGATCCTTTTGCAGCAGACTGACTACAAAATCTTTGGCAGCATCCGAAATTTCATCCCATTCCGGCGATGGGAAATCGAACTCTCCGGTTTTGACGGATTCAAACACTTCTACATCATCGTCACCGGCAAATGGTGGATATCCGCACTAATAGATTGAAAACATAGTTAACGCATCATGGGTAGAGCAAAATGAAAGCAATGGTAGGAATCAAAGGAAAAGCGAGAAAAAAGGCATGGGTTAGTTGGACCGAGATACCCCAAATAATGTCCCCTTCTCCGAATCCAATTTCACAGCAGCCATTCATTCTTACCAACAGAATGTAGGCAATGACACCGAGACTCCAACAATCGCAAGCTTTGGTGTATTTTTGTCGCAAGACTTCGGGTGCTACATAATAGGGGGTCCCCACTCGGGTGCTCATGACCCCACCCTTGACATCATCGTGCCGCGAGAGTCCAAAATCAATAATCTTGATGGGGGAATCATCCGCCGGAGTCAAAAAGAGAAAGTTCCTGAAAAAGTGCAATTATTGAGTCGATCGAAGAAAACTGTTAGAATTTGAGTTGCTGATTCTGAATGAATGCCAAGTTAGTGTATCACTCACTCTGGTTTTAAATCGCGATGGACAATCCCGAGGCTGTGACAGTACCGGATGGCATCCATGACATTGTGAATGAGTTTGGCGGCTTCAAACTCGGCAAAGTGTCCCTCGTCGGATTCGAATTTGTCAATGATTCGATCGAATAATTCTCCACCCGTACATAGTTCCGTCACGAGATGCAAATACCGTTCGTCTTCGTAGACGTCAATGAGTCGGATAATGCTGTCATGTTTGACTTGCTGTAGAATGGTGATTTCTCGTTTGAGGGTTTCAATTTCGGATACCTTGTTCTTCTTGATGGATTTCACGGCGCACCATTTACCCGTTTCACGATGTTTGCATTTCCGGACTGTGCCGTAGAGACCAACCCCGAGTTCTGTATCGTCAATTTGGTAGCTTCATGATAACAAACAGTAAGAAAAAGATATCGTAAGAAATATTTCTTATCAGATATAATATGGACAAAGCAAATGAGATAATTAAGGAGAGACCAATCCACTCACTTGACGCTGACATCCATAAGAGACTCGGTGACCATGAAACGAGCTCCTTGGCCTCGTCTACTTCGACTGCGTCCAGCAGTGGACGTGGAAAAGTCTCCCGTGGTAGAAACGCTGTGGGGATCCATGATGCTAATATAGATTTAAAGATATTGTTGGCTGGGGTATCCGATGCGTCAAAGCAAGCAAAGAATGGAACTCTTCCGAGGGGTCTGAGGTGAGCGCTTCAAGTTAACAATTGTCAGTACTCGAAAAACAAGTTGTGGGAGCTACACTTCTTTTCTGATCAGTTCTGAGCAGTGCTTTCAAGCCAGGTACAGTACCAGTACTAGCTAGTATGCCGATGACTTCGTCGAGTTCGTGCGAGAAAAAAGTTGTTGAAGGTCTCGAAGGTCGCGGTTCTTCAAGATTTGAGTTGGTCATTGAAAAAGACCGCAATGCCAAAAACTGTGACTGAACCGAAATTATGATGTCACAGGGGGCTGTCGCGGGTGATGGACTGTAGCGGTAGCGCAGATGTAGTAGTCTAGCTAGCGGTACTAGCTACGACTGTAGTACTGTACTGCTTGCCTGCTCCTTTCAACTACATGTGAGCCAGCAGGGTGTTTGGAGTTGGAGGAAAGTGCCTCTGGTGCATGTGATGAGTAGGATCTCCAACGCTGATCTGGAGAACCTTGGCAAGGATATGGGAAGACCAACTCGAAATTGGATGTTTACTATTGATCTTGGACCTGGAGAGAAATCCTCTGATGCATTTGCTGTTTGCGTTCTACATGTACATCAAGATTGTGTCTAGCTAGAGATGTGGCTATCCAAAGTGTGATTACTAGCTAGCTACCAGGTAGCTTCGGCTATCTTTTGGCAGTTCTTCCCTTTCCACACTACAAGTACATAATATCTGGATCTGGATCTCTTGCAGCGCCCTTTACGTGATCTTCGAGGGACTGCATCATGGTTCTCAGCTTTCTCATTTCTTCGTCTTGGGCTCGTTGAATCTTCTCTTGTTCTTCATTCTTTCTCTGATGTTCCCTAAGCTTCATTTCCATAGCATGAAGTTGTTGGGACTGAATGGGTGTAGTTGCGTTGGCGTTTCCATAGCATGAAGTTGTTGGGACTGAATGGGTGTAGTTGCGTTGGCGTTTCCATAGGGAAGAGGTTGTAAGCCATGATTGAAAGCAGCAGTAGTTGCAACTAAGGACGGTGGCAAGGATTGGCCTGGATGACGACCACGTTGGAGGCAAGTGGGTGTTGTGGATGGTTGGACGGTGATGGACGTGGTTGAGTAAGCATACTCGTGGAGCTAAAAGTTGGGCTGCCATTATTGCTTGTGGTGTGGCTAGCGTTGCCCACACTGACTGCTGTCACAACCATTGGAGTCGCAGAACAAGCTGGCACTGCACCGTTGCATGTAGCAGCTTGGTTCGAGGTTGCACTTGGACTGGCTGTGTTGCTGGCAGTGTTCAAACTGCTCACATGAGCACCTGCCGAGTTGCATGTAGCAGCTTGGTTCGAGGTTGCACTTGGACTGGCTGTGTTGCTGGCAGTGTTCAAACTGTTCACATGAGCACCTGCAGAGTTGCATGTAGCAGCTTGGTTCGAGGTTGCACTTGGACTGGCTGTGTTGCTGGCAGTGTTCAAACTGTTCACATGAGCACCTGCAGAGTTGCATGTAGCAGCTTGGTTCGAGGTTGCACTTGGACTGGCTGTGTTGCTGGCAGTGTTCAAACTACCTGCTGTCGCAACCGTTGGTGTCGCAGACCCAGTTGGTACTGCACCTGTGGAGTTGCATGTAGCAGCTTGATTTGAGCTGCGCTGGGACTAGCTGTGTTGATGGTATTGTTCACCTGAGGGCTGCAGCAACAGCAACGGAAGAAATGCCCAAGGTGGGTGTTAGCGACCCAATCGCGAACAGATTGTCTCTTGAAGTCGGAAATGTCGACGGGATTCAACGCCACCAGCTCCTCATCATAAATTGTATATCCCGAGCTGTTGTTGGAGGCAGCCTTGGTTTGGCCACTCACAAATCGTTTCAAAACTCGAAGGGCACGATCAATCAAGGGAGCATTGGCAAGAATAGTTATCACCAAGCCCACAATCAACATCGTCAGCATCACCGTTGGCCTGGCTTCTTCGCAGTATGATTCCGCTTGCACAAACGTCACTAGAGTTGGTGAGCTGATGGAGTTGGTCATAGCTGCAGTGTAATCCCATTCACCGTAGTGCATTTTCATTGTCACAAACTCGCGCTTGTAATTGGCTGCTTTGACTTCTTCAACAGTTTGCACAACGAGGGGCACAAAGAGACCAATGAAGATCAGCATACCAAGGAAAACGAAAAACATCTCGTAAAGTAGACAACCTTTCTGAGGCTTGGCATTTGCGGCTTGTACGGGTGGCTTCCCAATGCAGAATAGCGCCCACCAATGGAAGCAAGAGTGAACGGATTTCAAGAAGCCAGTAAGGGCACCAAAACCTGCCATTGCAATCGAAATCGCAAATACGAAGAGATCTGTGTTGGTTGCTGTCTTGTCGCAAGGATGATCACTATCGTACACTTCGGTTGCTGCCTTCGAATAGAGAATCTCATCTTGCTGCGAACGTTCCACCAGATTTTGCAAGTTCTCATCATGGAGCCAAGGGGTAACCATGAGCCACTTAGCAGTCCTTCCAAGAGTTCGTTTCGTTAGGTTACCTGGCAGGAGATTTCCTTCTGCGTCAAATGCAACTGAACCTAACTTCACTGTTTCTTCTGGGAAGATGTCAGCGCTTCCAGCATTATGGTACTTCCAATCAGCAATGTTAGTCAAGGGTTCCCCTTTTCTCTCCTTGAATCTGCGATTCAGTGCGGACTTGAAACTGGTGGCAGCTTCTACAGTCGCCGTGGTCGCTTTGTAGTCCGAGTGCGCATCCAGACTGCATTGAGTAGACGCTCCGTCCGACAGGGAAGAGTATGCCCGATCTGCTCCAAGTGGGAAGGGAGTAGCTTGGATTGGAAGAGTGAAACTGTTCTTGTCCCACAAAGCAATGTTACGGTCAAAAATATAGGGTGCTGGGTACATCACGGAACGCCTCGTCCGCATTGCAGATTCCGCGAACTCCTCATTGATGAGTCCTTCAGCGGTTCGGTTCCAGTAGACTTCATCTAAATGCTCCGAGTACGTATCGCTCAGATGTTTTCTCCAGATTCGAGCAAAGCTTTTCATTTCCGCAAACTCAAACGCTGATGCCATCATCGTGGCTCCATTGGGGGCCTCCATATCAATAGCCTCCTGGTCAAGGTACTTTTGAAACTCGTCTCGAAGGCAGGATACTTTTTCGATGAAGTTACCCTCCATTGTGATGCAAGAATGACCAACGTCTAGGAGGTCCAATTGATGGGCTGCCCAGAGCTCCAGCTTTGGATTGAGTTGGGAACCAAGGATAAGGTCCCATTCGTAGTCATGAAGCTGCCCGTTCGTAGGATACTCGTCAATCATATGCCCCCAAGAAAGAATTTGGCCCAATCTATTCAACTTGCTTGTCAAAATGGCCTCCTTTGCACCGGTTGAAATCTTTCTTTCGTGATCCTTGGTTGATGGCGCGTTCGGGTTGCTATCTAGGAAAGCAGCTTCACTCGAAGGAGGAGTCCGTGTCAGTTTATCCAAGGGTGCCCAATGCACGCCCGGGCCCGAAGCTGCAGGTCCAACAGCACCTGGTTCTGCCATTCCAAGAAGGTTGCCCTTAAGATCCAATCCCTCCAAGCACTACTTCTTGGGAATGTAGTACAGTGGTTCGTTTGGCATTTCCATGGCATCCGCTTCGATGAACATGTAAAGGTTGTGGGCACACGCCAAGGGATCAAGCGTCTGGGAATCGTAATCCATTGGTGCTACAATGTAAGAAGCGTATGCAGCGGTAGAGCTGTCAGGTAGCTTGGTTTCGTATGCAGTGAAGCAGGCAACGGTGGCCGATCTAAGAGTGCTCTTGTAGTTCTCCCCAAGCTCAAAAGATTGATCGTTTACTTCCACAACACGTCCCGTGTCGGTTGCAAATCTCTTTGTTGCCTTTTCAATGATGGATGGAATTGCTTTTTTAAACTTTGAGAGCAAGTCTTCATTGTTTGATTGGTCGTTGTTGGAGCAGTCTTGAAGCATGTCAACAATCTCGCTGTGTGACACCGATCTTTCAGGAATGACACCAGCGTTCAGGCGTGGTATGAATGCTGCAATGATAGCATCATGAAGACGGTATTCGTCATCAAAGTTCGTATCATCTCCAGTCACAAAATCACGAAAAGTTTCTGCTGCTATCTTTTGTGGAGCAGCTTCAGTTGAGATTGTGCTTGCACCTACACTCGCGGTCATGTTTTGGTTGTCGACGAGTTCGGTTGGTTCACTGGTGGATTCCTCTTCAGGTTTGTCTTCAGCTGTCACCAGGTCTAAGATTTCCTCGTTGTTCGCTTCGTCGGCTTCGTTGGCTGTACCAATGATACCGCCATCGATAGCATCGCTTGAATGGTTGCCGCTGAACTCTGCGATACCGTAGCTCGAATAGTTGCTCTTGAAGTCTACATTGCCGGTACAGAAATCGCCAGCAAACTGGAACAGTGCAGAAACAGTAGCTTTCAGATGAGGCGTACCACTAAAATAGGCGTAATCTCAAAGAGTTCCATCTCAAACTCACCTTTGCATCAGTAGCTTTTAAACTAGCCGGTATTTCGTCGTCACCACATGACGGTCCAACGCAGATAGTATAATGTTTCACCTGATCAATGTAACTGACATTCCCATCTGGTCCAGCGGCCGTGCAAGTGTAGTCCATGTCGTATGACACGGCCTGGTAGCCAGCTCGTTGACAAGCTTCGACGAACTCTGGATACCCCTTAATCTTGGCATGGTCGCCGCTGGAGATGATTTTGGTCAAGACGCCAGAGTCCGAATCGAAGTGGGCCGCACGCATCGACCCGATTGCATCGTAGTAGTTGATCAGCAAAGTGATGTTGGCATACTGGAACACTTGGTTGGCTTGTAGAGCTTCAACTTCAGTCTCACAAGTGGTTGTCACATTCTCCTGTTGGACCCAGCGCAAACCATCATCGTCAGGAACGACGGGAGATGCCGCTGCACTTGAGGCTAGCAGCAACGAGAGTAAGGAATAGGATTGCAAACGCAAGTTCATGTTTTGGTTGTTTGTTTTCTTTTTCTTTTTAAGTTGTGAGTGTGGAAGATCGAGCGGAGATACCGGTGAGACGCCTGTTTGGCTGGTTCTTTGCTGTTAATAAGCACGTACATCGAATACCGGTTCGACTGTACCGGTACTGTACGAAACCTAAGAGTACAAGAACTGGGAGGACAGGCAGGGGGGGTATCGGTATGACCCCATAAAGCTTCATGATTCATCAAACGAATCGAATGATTCGATTCAATCGAACAAATTCAATCGAACGAATCAAATCCATGTGACTGGACAGACTTTTACGGTAGATGGCACCGGTATAGTACGGGTGGTACTGGTAACTGGTACCGCAGACTGGTGGCGATATTCGTGATTACTTTGGCTCTTTTGAATAGGGGCAAAGAGTACAAAAGCTGATTCTGCAATTATGAGGCCTTGTTGAAGCAGGTTTGGTGTGGTAAAACATGCACTAGTAATTAATATGTATTTAGTCAAAGAAAATCCTACTGCATTTTTAAACCATCACTGCTGCCACGGTTTGAAATGTTTAAAGGCTTTCAACAAAGAGCACTTCAAACAGCTCCATGAAAAAGCTACTGAGTACAGCTGTACCAGATACTAGTAAGTAGACTCTCGGTACTTGATATACTTAAATATTGTACATTCCTCGAGCGAACGAATTGCCCTCTTTCGCAGTCCAGAATTTTCACAAAGTTGACAAGACCGCTACTCTGTTGCCGACGAACGATCTTCCTGTCCCTGTTGTTGCCGAAGCCGCCATTGTGGAGTGGCCCTGAAGCAGCCATTGTGGAGTGATTCGGCCATTGTGGAGCGACGAAGAGAAAAGGGCTTTCGCGTTTCAATGGTTGAATTTATGGCTGGAACGCTAGAGTAGATCGACCAGAGTGGAGTGGGAGAGGTTCATTTTCTGAACACGATAGATGTAACTAAGACTAGTAAGATAATAAAAATAAAATTCCTTGAATGCAGGATTTCCGAAGCTTTTAATTTGTACCGTGCGGTGCGCAGGGTGCAAAATCGTCAACGAAAATTGTCTGCAAAAACTTCAGGCTGGGACCATAACTTCAGGCTGGGACCACACCTTCAGGCTGGGACCATACTAGTAGCTTCAGGCTGGGACAACAGCTTCAGGCTGGGACAACAGCTTCAGGCTGGGACAACACTTCAGGCTGGGACCAACTAGTAGCTTCAGCTGGGACAACAGCTTCAGGCTGGGACCAAGCTTCAGGCTGGACAACAGCTTCAGGCTGGGACACAGCTTCAGGCTGGGACAACAGCTTCAGGTTGTCCACAGCTTCAGACTGGGACCACACCTTCAGGCGGGGACCATACTAGTAGCTTCAGGCTGGGACAACAGCTTCAGGCTGGGACAACAGCTTCAGGCTGGGACAACAGCTTCACCCGATTCTTCACCGCATGATCAATTCCATCAGGCAATTCCTGTATCTCTGCGTATGTAGCCCTTATCTGAGCTTATTGTTGTCGTCCATGCATCTCTCCCTTTTCATCAGCCATAGCAGCTTCTTGTTGGCATAGACTATGGTCTCAGTTCCAACCACTTTGACTTTGTTTTCACTGATCCTGACACAGTCCCCGCGCCTACAAAACGCAGTTTCCGTCACCAGTCCTCGGTTACTCATCCTGTACCAGCAGCCTTCTCTGATCCACTTCAAAGCTTTTTTTTAAATAGACCACCAATGACAGCATCAGTAGCATCGAGTAAAGCACTGGCTGTGATGCACTGGAGTAAAGCACTGGCTGTGATGCACTCGAGTAAAGCACTGGCTGTGATGCACTGACTGCAGAGTAAAGCACTCACTCGTCACTCGTGATCTTTTGATGGCCAACGGTGCGTCAAAAGATCCAGGTTGGCCTCAGACCGAACCTTCCTGCCCTAATCATCAGTTGGCACGATCACACGTGATGCTGGAGCCTCTAAGCAAATTCTTGTGGGCAAATTCAGCGATCTAGACTATCGAGTCGTTACCATTATCCCTCTTGCTTCAATAGCCACAGGCTCTTTCATCGCCTCGTATGATATGTGAGACTCGACTCATCAGTGCTGGGCTAAAATATGTACTTGGATTGTGTCATCAATCAAGTAACGAAAAAGGCTGATGATGGTGGTGTTGATAGAGAGGTTGCTATAGTTGTGTGTGTTACTACTTGGCTCCGTTCAGCGGGTGGTCTATTGAGGTGCGGCCTAAATAATAAAACTTCGTTATTTTTTGTGTGTGTTACTACTTGGTTGTTGTTGTGTGGTTGATTTTAGTAATCTGGTAACTGGATAGTCATAAATCGCTACCACAGGTCATTTTCGGTCCCCTCAAGCTAGGGGGGGATCTATCTCACGCTAGATTGCACTTGGAATGGGAAAACAGACTTCAGGAGTCTGAAACAGGATGTACCCTTGGGGCAAGGCCCCTTGGAGGCTCAGACCTGCCGTTAACCACAACGGCCCACCCTATGGTCATGTTGCCTTTTGCAGATTGTTAATAGAGGACTTTCGACACCAGTCGCTGTCTCACAGGCCCGTTCTGGATCTTCGTCAGCATGTCCGCCAGATTGCTCTCAGTATTCTCGTATGTGATGTTTGCCATGCCTGCAGCGACTCTTTCACGAACATAATGGTAGGCGACCGAATTGCTCTTCTTCTTCA